ATATTTAATATGTTGCCTTTATATTACAAAATAATCTTCATACCTTGTTCTCAGTCATGAACCTTTAAAATGGATCTGTGTTTAGCTCTAGGTTATTGCCAGCTGACTCTAGCTGGCAGCATTTGAAACAATGCAAAACCAGTACCTTCTCAGACTAGAGATCTGCTTTCAGCAGAGGTGGATGGGAAGGGAATATAGTGATGGGAACTAGAAGAACTGCTTAGCGTAGCAGCTGGCTGAAGTAGTCCTGACAGCAAAACACAGTTAACAACGCTCCCCCAGGTGAAGCTTTCACAGCACACAGATGTTGCATGCCTCTGTTTACCTGAAAGGTCCCTAAATGGTGGAATAATGGTCCAGAGAATTTAAAATCTTTGGAAGAAATAAAAAGAACTGAACTAATAATTTACTATTTCTCAATTCTATTATACAAATTGTGAAAGAAAAATATAACAATGGTTTGGAAATAAGGCCTGAAATCTCTTTGTGAGTTAACCAAAAGTAATCTCAAGATGATTAGATGCCATGAACAGTTGGCACCATGGGAGTCTAATTATGGAATTTGTTTTTCCACAACTGCTTTAAAAAGATCCCTTTGTCCACTCACTGACATCACATCCTAACCAGAAGTATTCTGGATTTACAGACAGCTGGCAGAGGAAAAATACCAAGAAAATATAAAGAAAATGCAAGAATTCAGGTCCTGTAATTTTCAGCAGCTGAATGTCAATGATGTCCTACATGTAAGTAGTAGACTATTGCTTTGGAAGCACATTCAGTGTACAACACTCAGGCAGAGTCCTGTTCTGAGACTAGTAAGTTGGAAGTGCATCAAAGTCCAGACCACTTGGCTGTACCTTGTGGATCTGTGATGAGGGGAAGTATGTTAAGTTATTCACATATGGTTTGACACACTTTCTATTCATTGCACAATTTTCTGCTATTAAGTTGCACTTGAATCTAAATCTGCTGTATGGTATGGACTGTATGATGTCAGAGGTCAAAATACATTAATTTTCAACATAAATTTAGAATTGTAGTCCTTTAAATGCTATAATCTGGCAGGGCTGTGGGTTCTTTTCATTTGATTAGTTAAGAATTTTAACATTTCAACTGGCTTTTTATTAAGAATGAAGTCTTGGAATGACTCCCAGTGTAAGCTTTAAGCTACCTGTAACAGAAGACAGGCCTGTTCAATTGTTCCACTACATTTTATCGCAGGGAACAGTGTCAGTTTGGAAATATTCAGTGAAAGCGTCACAGAAATAATGAGATTTTACGTGTTTTTTCTTCTGCCTCTTCTTTCACATTCATTCTAGCTTCTATTTACCATTGTGATTGGAGGAAAAAGTAGTTTAGTGTGTCCCGGCTGGTTGGCTGAGTCAGTATTGATAATAATACAGGTCCCAGGAATTGTGTAGATCAGTGCAACCACTATATTGTGATCCTGC